GGACTTAAGGACTGTGATTAGCTGTACCCGTAGCCTCTCTGCCTCCATTGACGGAAGTTTTTGAAACACAGATTCAACGCTAGGGATTATCTCTTCCGCCCTTATCATCCTTTTGCTCACTGCGAAATTCAAGCCCTTCTCTAGCAGAGTGCACTCTTCTTCACTTAACGGTCTATTTCCAGAGTTCATCTCATTATCTCATCAGCTATGAAATCAGATTGGATTATAGATGGCAGGCAACCCTGACGGACATTGCCTTGTTTACAAAAGCTTCTGAAGAGCTGTCTGTATTCTCTCACACGTTCGAAGGTCTGAGAATACAATGAAATTATTATGTTCACAAACTCCCGGGGCATTCCTTGATAAAAAACGTGTCAAGTAAAACAGACCGGCCAACCCAGTCGAATGCAAACAGCCGTGTTCTGCGGGATGTTATTACTGCCTGTCTAGATATGGTTACAGATCATTGATAGGCATACTGGTGTTGCATGGCCTGTTCACGTTTCTCTGAAACGTAGTCAACTTCACGTTGGTTTGAATTTTTCGATCACTGCACATTCCGGTGTAATGTTGGGTACTACTGATGAGGCACGCGAGTAGTATGTAGTTTTCGGGTAACCGCCTTGATCTAATGAAAGATGGGATTTGTTACGGAATTTGTACGTTTACACTTGCGTGATAGTCAATGAATATCCAGGAAGGTTCACGACGGCCCGTTCAAAAAGTGGGCGGATGAATAAATAGCAAGATGCATATGACAGTTTTGCTTTCCTGTCCAATAGTCTGCAACCGTTCACTTGGTGTTTTTTTGTAACACACAACTCTGCAAGGGAGGGTTCCTTCCTTTCACAAGTACTCGGATTCAAAATGTGGGGTTAAGCGGAATTTCCTGGATTTTCGAATGGTTTATTGGGAAGACTGGTCATCAGAAAACACATTAATGTCGTCGACCCTATTCAGTTTACTGCCAATACACCCAAGACAGTCTCCCGATGAAACACCCAAAGACAGACTACCTCCCATGTGGAGCCACTTAGCTCTTATCCAGTGGTACCCGGCTTGTAATCGACAACTTTTCAGAGGCCACCTTCCACTTCCAAAACTGACCATTTTAGAAGTCTCCATATGGTGGTTTTTTATTCCTGTCTCAGGTTTTCTGAGTTTAGAGCACTAACCAGGTACGCGACTACCCTCGATACACACAAGTTTGTTCCCGAAGTGTTTGTATCAAATTCCGTTATTTGCGAAAAGGAGACCCAGAACAATTTTGTGATTAGAGAAATGAATCAGACTGCAATTGGGTAACCTACCGGAATGTACATATAATGTACAACGCGAACCCAACGAAAGGAAAGCAGTAGAATTGAAGGATCTGATACTTTGGGTATCTGTTTAAGTAACTGTTGGATTCTGGAATGCTAACTTTTGGGAAAGCAAATATTTTTTAAAACAGGGAAGATTTAAATTGAGGAGAAATGAGTGCATTTTTAAACGGATTATTTTAGGAGTCGCAAAACATGCTTTAATGAACTACGTGGGATAAAGAGGTCAGATGGGTCACTTAAAAAGTTCAAAGCTAGAAGCTGTGTTTTCCTTATTCTGAAAGAATAATCAAGTTCTTCCATCAATAAATGAGACTAAAATTGGGAATGGCGCATTTGCTGTACAAAAGAAATGTACAAATCGACCTAATGCACCTGTGTTAAGACATAATCAGCAAGTTCGTTGTGTAACAGTTGAGCAACGTAGAGTTGTGTTCATCTGAATGGAATAAATCAGCGCACTACACTACGCAACCACTAGTCTGGAGTTAGAAGTTCCTTGGCGATCCGTGAGGAGCTCTACACTGTTTATTTCCAACAAGGTTAAAGTGGCTGCGTCGTGCCTCTCAACTTTTAAACAAGCTTGCAAATATTCAAAACTCTTCTCAAGCTAACATCAAACTTTAGTGAACATTTTGTCCCGTAAGCGAAGCCAGACCGAGTAAAAGGCCGTGAAGCACCTTACAGCTGCCTCATCCTTATTGAGAATGTTCGGCGTTGCGTATCTTACGAAACTAAGCTCGCATCACGAGTAAAAGGCCGTGAAGCACCTTACAGCTGCCTCATCCTTATTGAGAATCGTCAGCAGTGCGTATCTTACGAAACTAAAGCTCTCATCAGACCTAGACAGAGTGCTATTCATCCTCCAGTCACAGAAACTGCCTTACGTGTTCAAAGTTTTCGACTACTAACTCCAGTGATTGAGTGGACTAAACACAATCGATGCTACCAGCTACTGATCAACAGGTCGCTGCTGAATGGTTGCGTCTTCAAACCAACAGCCTGGTGTTCGTGGGATCGAGAAACTCTTAAATTTTATGAGACGCGCAGGGCTGACGATTCCTAATAAGGATGAAACAGCTCTAAGTTGCTTCCAAAATTCCAGCACAGACTGCCTTCCCTTAAAGTACGAACTCGCCATTGAAACTCCAAGAAACCTCACACTGACGAAATGAATCTATTTGTTCCATCGCTATGTTAGACACTATTTGACATGAGGAGGCGCCGCTATATAATCCCCAAACTTTGATACGATTCATTCTTAAGGGAAGTCCAATCCAAGAATAATGTTTTTCAGTTGTGTGTTGGAGTTTGAAACCGCGATGCGTCGCTGCAGACATCTTTGGCAAAAACAAGGTGAAATGGGGAGGAATCACAGTTAAAAATTAACAACCGACATGCAGAGCATTAGGCGATCAAGAGATTTCTCGCTCTTACAATCCAGTGGTAAATCTGAGTGTCGAACGCGTTTTGGAACGGAGACAGTAGAATACCATCAATATCGGAATAATAATGGATTGTATGGTACGATATACACTATATATGTATATGATGCATAGGATGATAAAATGGGACCGGTTTCACACTCGTGAGTCCTGCATATTCAAACTCAAGTTGACTTTTATTGATACGTTCTGTAATCCGAACATGAATTGATGTGATGCAAAAACCTAGTAAGGGTGAAATCGCCAGCACATGCATGAACCGATCAACCGATTCACTGAAATATTCTTATCGTTTCAAACACGTGTATTGCATTTTGTCGAAATTTCATTTAGATCATACTCCTTTACAGATGATCTAGCTATTTTAAACAAGAGTAAGCTCAAACCAAGACGTTTAACTGTTGGGGATGAAATCAGCACATAGGTGGTGTACTTAGCCAAGCCAACCAACTCCACTGAGTGCATGTTAGACACCGATCGGAGTTTGAAAGTAATCAGGTGGGGGAAGGGTGACGCCAATGCCTCCATCTTCAAGGGTATAGAAACTTTTCCGCACAGTTGTTCACTGTTTTAAGTCTGGAGGAAGAGAACTGAACAGTTTGGGCTAACTGCTCCGGATCTCCCTCCAAAGAAGCAATGTAAGTAGGAAGTGGTAGGAGCTGCAGATTTTCTAATTAAACTAAACTTTTTCTCGCTGGTTATCGTGTTCCACTAGATCCTTCTAGACTCTAAACAAAAAAACTTTGTTTTACTGCTCATGACGATCTATTCTTGGTTCTTTTCTTATCAATTCCAGTTTGACATAATCTCCATCGTGCCGGTGGACTTGTTCTCTTTATTTTATGGGAGGGAAATGGCTCGTTTCCGCGTTTTGCGGCTTTTCAAGGTAAGCCTTTTTGAAAAAATTCTAACCTCGCGGTTTTTGAACCTGATATGCATGACAGCGACCAGCTTGGATGATGAATAGAGTCCTTGCTGTCATGCTTCCGGATGTGACAGCACCATGCAACGGACTTTTATCTCCACATAATACGATATTTTTATAGAAGCTAATGTTGAGTTAGTGTACACAATGAAAAACTTTCTTCCCCCAAAAGCTTACACCCAAGGGTCGCAACAACTTTCAACAAAGCTTGCGGTGTTGAACCAGTGTAATTTCATACTTTGTGGTTCAAGAGTTAAATTGATTTAAGTAGAGTTAGAACTTAAAGAAAAAAATCTTTGAAGCGTTGTCATCTATCTGGTAAACATTTTCTCGTGTACCATTTTATCTGCACTCTAATATGGGTCCCTTCCAAATCGAACTCAAAAATCTGTTTTCTCCTCGGTCACGTGCACTGTCTTCTATAAGACCGTTCTCTTACTTTAACACATGTACCCCGTTAGCCAAAGAACTGTGAAACGTCAATTCCCGAGTGTGTCCTGTTATCCCAAAAAGGAGAAAAACTTAATTTTCTTGAATGGCCATTACTCGGAAAGTTGTTGAAAACCTCTCGACATTTCACGAGTGCTTTCATCCTACTTTGAACTGATCATTTGGGCGCCACTTACACGTTTCCGTCATAATTGTGTTCTACTTGAAACCTCATCATGATAGCATGACATCAGTGTTCAACAGCGATGCTTCACTGCCGTAAAAAATTCTCGTTTCTGAGACAGCCAAGCGAGTTCAATGTGAGTGCAAGAGCTTGCTTGCTTCAGAGTTTAGACGTCGAACGCAACCAGATAGACTGGGTGTCCATTAATTTCGAGATATTTGAGGATGTCGGCGCCATGTGATGCCATGTTGCGCTCAAAATCGATTCATGACGAACGGAGTCATCGGTCCTAGGTGCTGGGACTACAAGGAGAGAGTTATTGATGGAGTGGGGAGAGATGGAAGAAAAAGTCTGTGAAAGAGAAAGAACGAAGGTGCCAGCTGTAGCCTGTTTTCTTTTGCCCGTCCTGCTGTATGAAGCAAGTAAGGCGACCCGGCTGGTGGCATCACGCGACGGCCGAGTGGCATGGGAGGATTGTTAGTTTGATTGTACGAGGGCTGGAATACTGTCCGAGCACCCACACCTAGACAGGAGGACGATTTGGGTCCTCAAAAGCGTGACCGCAAGGCCGCTTGTTTGGCAGGAAATGCAAATGCATTACCATTTCTGCGAAGCAATCCGCCACAGGTTCCACCAACAACGTGGAGGGCCAGACCGCTAACCGTTGACCAACCTGGTATGAGAGACTCTATGAGTGTCACGGGGACACTCCCCACCTTAATTCAACGAATCACTGAGGTGCGCAAACCGTCACACCACAGTAAGATTCAGCCTATTCGTGACGGCAATGGAAAGCCAGTTGTGCAAAATTTCCAAACTAGGCTCACTTGCATACCACTTTATTCCTAGTGACAGAAGTGGCAGGCCAAGAGTTGAGGTGAAACCTTGGATGGTTATTTGGGTGTTATAATACATTCTGAGTTGCTAAGTTATTTCGGTGAATTGGCCTACGCACCCGATACCGCGCCTTCTTCGTTATCAATTAGTGAAATCAATCCTGATATCAAGTTTTAGTTTTGAAGTATGGTTTCCTTTTGTGCAAGACAACTAAAAATGCAGGAAGCTCGTTTGATCATTGACGAATCGTTTGGTTTTGTTGCTGATATTCATCTTGCATCATATCTGTCATTAGAATTCACTCCCGAAACTAAGTCATCAAAGTTGCGGCTTCGGTAATCTTCGAGTGGCCGGGGATTCGATCCCAAATTTTTTGGAGAACAACCTAATTAAACCTGTTGCAAAAAGTCTGCTTGTTCCGAGTTACTTTTTCTCATGAAACCACCTATCGATCGCCACTGGGGAGATGCCTCAAAGATGTTCGGTTTCATTTCGAAATAAAGAGAAACTATTTGTCCCATTAGAAATGTTCATGATTTGCTCGGACGGATAGGACAGATGAGAGAGTATATCGGTTACCCTTTCTCTGAAGTCCGCTACCAATATAATGTGCAGCTACCGCCGAGACTCCAACCTTTCGGTGACTAGAGTATGATTTGGAGAAGTGTGGCATGAGTATTGCTCATTATTATTATTATTATTTACTATTCATACTAATGGATTATTGAGAGTTTAGGTGTGGCTTACGTATACTTCAGTTGTGCATAGGATGTCGTCGAACTTCGTCTGACGACATTGCACGCCGTCTTCACACCGAGTTAAGATTTCTGAAACCTTCATTTGGGCTGCTTAAAGAAATGTTCAGTAAAATGCCGTTTGCAACTTTCGGCTCCAAGTAGGATTTTCCACAAAACTTGATTTAAAAAAGTTCGAGTCCGTTCCACTTATATCTGTTGAAGATGACACTCCGTGTAACAGGTAGCTTTTCAGGTAAACAGAACTAGCTGTTTATGGTCTGAAATCTTTCCCGAAATAACGTCACGCCGTTCAGCTGACGCGTTGTTATTGGCACACCACATTGTGTGTATTGCCTGAAAGCGACAATGCTTGATCCTGGGTAAACTTCACTGGGCATATGTGGAAATTTACTGTGACTCTTTCCGCGAACCCCATTCAGTATCACCATTGTACATGTGGTGCAGTTTGCGTGTCTGAAAGGTACTGTTTGGCGCAACAAAACAACATGGGTTGAACGACTGTCTACGTCCGAATCGCCCCAATGATTACAAAGGCATATAAGGCCTTTATCTTGTTAAGTAGACCTAACCTTTACGCATTAACAAATTTGGGTCAATCCTTCGAGAGGTACTTTGAGACCTGAAAACTCGAATACTTTGTCAAGAACTGCCACCTGATACACTATTCAGCAGGGTAGATTTTGAAAATAACTCTTAACACATGTTAACAACTGATGAAAAAAGGTAAGTGGTCTTTGTTGAAGGGGTTTTGAACAAACCTAGCAATCCTTACTTGACAAAAAGTGAACAGTATCCGTCGACAAGCAGATCTCACAAATTTACAGTAGCTTCTTAATTGGTAGATAGATTTTGAAAATAACTCTTAACACATGTTAACAACTGATGAAAAGAGGTAAGTGGTATTTGTTGAAGGGGTTTCAAACAAACCTAGCAACCTTTACTTGACAAAAAGTCAGCAGTATCCGTCGACAAGCAGATATAACAAATTTACAGTAGTTTCTTAATCTTCTGTGGAACATCGCGTTCACAAGTTCCTTTCTAGGTCTCCTGCATCACGTACAAACTTTTAAAATCAAGGCTGAGAACATACTGCATCCGGTGGAGATCACATACGCATCGCTGTCGTACGAATGGTTCTCCATCTGTCCCGATGTAGATGTTTTGATGAGTCCACACCAGTGCTACATCAACTCACGCTGGACATATTTGAGTTGTTACGTCTAAACACACGAAAATCTGCATGCTTGAGCGATATGCTTAGTTCAGCTGATGCCTCCGGTGGTTCACTAGCCGAATGCTTTCAGAATTTCGAAGCTTTACTATACGCCTTTCAGTCTAGTGGCATAACCCGAGAGTTCGTTTAGCAGCTGAGTGCAATACCCTTATTTTCTGGTCCTATTCTGTTCTACCCAACAGGTCGGCACGTTCTGGGAAACATTTGACCGGCTAGATCAACGACTGAATGCAGGCTATGCGGTTCGATTGGCCCGGACTATCACCTACATGATATTCATAATTCACTTAGAGGCTTGCGGTTACTATGCGTTCAATCGGATACAAGGGATGAATGCAAGCACGTGGTCCATTCCCATGGGAAAGATTTCACCGTGAGTAGCATTCAACCACTTTGAACTTTTACGTTTAGCTTCCAAAGTCTGTGGACTGACACGGTTGCCTACGGTGTGACTCACAGTAAGTGCAGTGCATCCAGAAGTTTAAAAATTGTTGGAACAGCAGACCCCTGAGAAACAGTTTTTGCGCCGTGCTGGTCATCTGTAAAAAAACAAAGAAAAACACCCTATTTTCCTCAGTATTGAGCCAACATATGTACAGGATACCATGACGAGGGCCAGTAGACACGTGAAGGGCATCTATGCGGATCCAAAAAAGGTAGAGCGTACAATGAAACAAGAAACTATTCATTCTGTCAGCTGGATATGGCAAACACTTTGATATTCGATTAGCTAAAGTTGACCGATCTAGCCTAATTTGGCTCACTGAACAGGTTGCATGCAGCCACTTATTGCTGAACAATGGACACAGTAAGGCAACGTTTTTCGATCCTAATTTCAAAGCGTTTTGAATGACATATAAACATGGCTTGATGACGTAATAAGTCACGTGAGTCACATGAAAAATTCGTAGACTTTACATCGCATATGGGAAAGTAATGGACAGATGGAACGGGCTACCAACAGTCCTTTTGTTATCCCCAGCCGTAAGGCAGAATATACAGACTACAAACAGATAGATACAGTTGAAGGCCGGGATCACGGCAAATGCATGGACTCTGCTCTTCATACGCAGCACCGGTTGAAGGAATTCGACCAAAATGACCTCAATAATGGACAAAACCTCAGGCTGTGATGTAGAATGAAGACGTCGGGTGATAGTACTCAAACTGTCTAATGTGGAATGCTAACTGTTGCGTGTTCTGATGATCGCCAAACTGATCTATCGATGTAATTCATGCTTCCCACAATTGCAACTGAATATGTGCAGAATATGTGGGTGGCAGCAAAATCTGAAGAAAGCTAGTGATACTCTTGGAGAACGATTCCTGGATTAGTGCGAGTGAGCCACATTTGCGCATTAGCGTGGACATCTTGAACTAAAGTCAATGCCTAGCTACTTACCGGTCACCATTCATCTGCGATGTATTCTTTCCGAACTTCTAGTGCAGGTTTTTGGAGTACAGTTAGTGCCACTGAATGATTCGGAGTCGCCACCAGAAATAGACGTGTAGTTTGGACTGCGAACACATCTCGTCGGTTTGAAGGGGAAACTATTCAGATGCTGACCGCTACGTACAGAATTCGGAAAGGCTTGGCGTACATCTACGAATGATCAAAACATAAACCAGTTTACCTTTAGTTTCTTGTCGCATGCAACTTTGCGTGAAGGCTGTGAAACGTATGTGTGAAAACTCAAAATTTCCACTTTTAGTGATTTAAAAAACGTCCCCATCTCAGCAAATGTCCAACAACCCTTCATCTTCGGTGCATCCTTGGAAAAAAGAGCAACGGTTTTGGACCTAACTGACTACTTATTGTGATACAAATGTTTTTATTTGATTTGCTTGTCTGTTTGGTGTCTCATGGTAGAAAAGAGTGAGGTCAATGTCTCCTACAGGTACTGATACGGCGAACCATCGAGGCCTAGGTGGGTTATCTGCCTGTAGGTACTTGGTTTCTGTTCACCCAGACACTGTAAAATACTCTGTAATCGTCCCACTCTATTGGCTGATTGTGGAAACCAGTGGTTCTGTTGTGTAGCCATATGACAACCACTCGGGGCAAACACATGTGGACAAAGGCTACGGTACTTGCCAGTAGTCATTAGTTGGCCTTTAACAAAACAGTTCCTTATCCCAGGAAAACTTTACGACGAATGACATCTCTAGTGCTGTCTGATAGCTTTGCAAATAGGCAGTATCTTCAAAGAAGCCGATGGAAGCATCTGAATTTCAGACTATTTCATGTTCACAAAAGAGGTCTGTGATCGAGGGTTTGATCATCTCAACCGCGATCGACGATACTGGTACGCTGGCGATGCTCTACCTTGAAAAGTGTAACTGACCAGATTTGGAAAGATTTATGGAGGTTGGTTCAGAGGGTTCAACTCCTTTACCTGACCCCATACATAGGATTTCCGAACAAGCATGAACTACTTTGCCCATATCTACAAACAGAACAATATTCTGACGGGATTACTGATGTCGTGAATAAACTGTCATAATTCGTGAGTATTTTGTCACTATGTATCCGCTTCCTTCATCCCTGTAGCTACGTCTATTCGTTCTACATTTGTATGAAGACAGCGACGTCTATCGGTGCATTGCCGGCCGCGACCAATCCCTATGAATTCATGTTTATGACGTGCTATTGGCTGAGTGGGATTTTCGTTTCTGCGATTCTCATTGGTCAGGTTAGTCCCGTATGGTGCTCAGCTGTTTTTCACGCGATCACTTGGCTGTCCAAACACACAACAGATGCATGTGTGCTATGTGCACTGATCACTGAGCAATGTACCGTCTACCCATTTTGTTATGTTTACTTTCCAACCAACATCCCATGGCTCATTGTCAATTTGGTTGTTGATCAGATCGCTGAGCTTGGGAATTTCATCACCAAACTGGGGACGTCATGAGCGCGTATTTGCGTACACCCGAGCAAGCTGTTAGTGTTACGACACATTGTCTAAAATTGTGGAAGGGGGATAAGTGAAGGTTGACTAGTCTTGTATTAAACGATATCATGCTGACCTATATTTGCATTGTTGTTGTAAACATAATGACGACCTGAGATTTGTGACTGATGGTCACGTGGTCGCTGGATTAGCTACATCTTTGAAAACGAATAGACGGTGCTACAAAAACGCCAGTAAGCGTCATTTCAACATGTGCTGGAAACCGACAGGGTGAAGTTTGCATACATAACGGTTAGAACTCAATGATTGACTTGATTCAGCTAAGTGATGGACATATCCCTGTTGGTAGTGTCTAGATTTGGAAGTACGTGCCGTACATTGCATGAAACGGGCATACGAGTGGATCTAAAGGATTAGGTGAGAAAGATTGTTAAAAACATTTTTATATGGTTGAGCGACATAGCGGATCTATATTTACGTGACTGCTTGTGTCTGAAAACAGCGGCTGGCATAGCACCATAGCCTGTTAAGTCATTGCGATACGTCTGTTGAACCGTACTGTACCAGGACGGGTAGTGTTTTATGCGCTGGCTTTATAGACGCCCTAATCGCGCAGTTGACTGAAGTCTCAAGGAAGCTTTTGTGAAATGTTTGGTTGATCTAAGCTTCCAGCACAAAACATCCATTTATCAGCTTTGTTTATCTGTGGGTTGAAAGATGACACAATCCATTAATTTTGGTTGACATCTTGTGATGTTCCGTCGTTTGACACCAACACTGGATGCCATTTTCAGGGTTTGCTTCATGGCTGATTTTGAGATTTTATGCGATTTATGTTACCGTTTTCATGTGAAGTTTGCAGAATTAAACTCCGTTTTGTGAATTTACATGTAATTACTATGCATATCATATAAATAAATATAATACGTCGTTCAGCTGTAGCACCCTTTTGGTGCCTAACTGCCATGCCACCCGAAGGAAGTAGAGGACTGGGATACCAACAGGAAGTCCAAGCCTAGACAGGCCAGAGGTTTGAACCAGGATGAAAAAAATTCGCTCTCCAACCACAGAGGCATATAAAGATGCAGTGAACAGCCACCAGAATGCTTAATGTCTTTGTCGGATCGGAATCCCAAAATATAGAGTGGATATATGGTTTAAAACGTTGATATGTATTCCACCAAACAGTAGATTTTCACTTTAATCTGCATAGCATCGCGTTTCAGGGCAGCACTGCAATTCTGGCGATTAAATACTTTTATTTCCTGGAAGTAGCATGGTAGCGCTGCTTCAAGTTTTGCGGGTTAAGCGTGTTGGCACTTGGCGCTCTCTTATTCTTGTCACCAGTTTTCTGTAGAATCTTGGAACAAAAAGTACGCGGCAAACGTACGTTAAATGTCCGCAAGTTGACATCCCCATCGACTGATAACTATTCAGTTGCTTTCCGCCAGATGAAACCTGTGTGTATCGATTTAGTCGTTAGCCAACTGAAACCTCGCCAGCTTCAGTGGAACAATGAATTCACCTTTGAAGAATTCTGAACGAAGGAAGTGCAAATCTAACTCCACTGGAAGCCACTTGAGGCCACTTGATCCGGCGAAGCATGATAATCACAAGGTTACGGAAAACACTGCTAAGTGCAGGAGGANCACATCTCGTCGGTTTGAAGGGGAAATTATTCAAATGCTGACTGCTACGTACAGAATTCGGAAAGGCTTGGCGTACATCTACGAATGATCAAAACATGAACTATTTTGTTTCCCTTTGTTGCACGTTGCATGCACCTTTCAGTAAATGCTGTGAAAAGTATGTTTAAAAAAACCGAAATTCCCACTTCCAGTGATTTAAAGACGTCCCCATCTCAGCAATTTTGCAACAACCCTGGGAAGAAACCATTGGGAACTCATCTTCCGTGCATCCCTAGTAAAATGAACGGCAGTTTCAATCTAACTGACTAATTGCCGCGATATAAAAGTTCTTCTCTGATTTACCTGTCTGTTTCATGGCTCATGGTAGAGCAGAATGAAGTAAACGTCTCCTATAGGTACTGATACGGCGAACCGTCGAGGCCTAGGTGGGTTATCTGCCTGTAGGTACTTGGTTTCTGTTCACCCAGATACTGTAAAACACTCTGTAATCGCCCCACTCTATTGGCTGATTGTGGAAACTAGTGGTTCTGTTACGTAACAATATGACAACCCCTCGGGGCAAACAAATGTGGACAGAGGCTACGGTACTTGACAGTAGTCATTAGTTGGCCTTTAACAAAACATGTTCCTTATCCCAGGAAAACTTTACGACGAATGACATCCCTGGTGCTATGCAGTATCTTCAAAGAAGCCGATGGAAGCATCTGAATTTCAGACCATTTCATGAAGACAAAGAGGGGCCTGTGACCGAGGGTTTGACCATCGCAACTGTGATCAACGATATTGGTACGCTGGCGATGCTTTACCATGAAAAGTGTGACTGACCAGAGTTGGAAAGATTTGCGGAGATGGGTGCAGAATGTTTGGCTCCTTCACTTGAACCTATGCGTAGGAATTTCGAACAAGCATGAACTACTTTGTTCACATCTACAGACGGAAAAATATTATGACTGGATTACTGAAGTCGTGAATAAACTACCAAAATTCGTGAGTATTTTGTCATTGTGTATCCGCTTCCTTCACCCTTGTAGCTACGTCTATTCGTTCTACATTTGTATGAAGACGGCGACGTCTATCGGTGCATTGCCGGCCGCGACCAATCCCTATGAATTCATGTTTATGACGTGCTACTGGCTGAGTGGGATTTTCGTTTCTGCAATTCTCATTGGTCAGGTTAGTCCCTTGTGGCAGTCAGCTGTTTTTCGTTCGATCACTTGGCTGTCCAAACACACAACAGATGCATGTGTGCTATATGCACTGATCACTGAGCAACGTACCGTCTACCCATTTTGTTATGTTTACTTTCCAACCAACATCCCATGGCTCATTGTCGATTTGGTTGTTGATCAGATCGCTGAGCTTAGGAATTTCATCACCAAACTGGGGACGTCATGAGCGCGTATTTGCGTACACCCGAGCAAGCTGTTAGTGTTACGAGACATTGTCTAAAATTGTGGAAGGGGGATAAGTGAAGGTTGACTAGTCTTGTATTAAACGATATCATGCTGACCTATATTTGCATTGTTGTTGTAAACATAATGACGACCTGAGATTTGTGACTGATGGTCACGTGGTCGCTGGATTAGCTACATCTTTGAAAACGAATAGACGGTGCTACAAAAACGCCAGTAAGCGTCATTTCAACATGTGCTGGAAACCGACAGGGTGAAGTTTGCATACATAACGGTTAGAACTCAATGATTGACTTGATTCAGCTAAGTGATGGACATATCCCTGTTGGTAGTGTCTAGATTTGGAAGTACGTGCCGTACATTGCATGAAACGGGCATACGAGTGGATCTAAAGGATTAGGTGAGAAAGATTGTTAAAAACGTTTTTATATGGTTGAGCGACATAGCGGATCTATATTTACGTGACTGCTTGTGTCTGAAAACAGCGGCTGGCATAGCACCATAGCCTGTTAAGTCATTGCGATACGTCTGTTGAACCGTACTGTACCAGGACGGGTAGTGTTTTATGCGCTGGCTTTATAGACGCCCTAATCGCGCAGTTGACTGAAGTCTCAAGGAAGCTTTTGTGAAATGTTTGGTTGATCTAAGCTTCCAGCACAAAACATCCATTTATCAGCTTTGTTTATCTGTGGGTTGAAAGATGACACAATCCATTAATTTTGGTTGACATCTTGTGATGTTCCGTCGTTTGACACCAACACTGGATGCCATTTTCAGGGTTTGCTTCATGGCTGATTTTGAGATTTTATGCGATTTATGTTACCGTTTTCATGTGAAGTTTGCAGAATTAAACTCCGTTTTGTGAATTTACATGTAATTACTATGCATATCATATAAATAAATATAATACGTCGTTCAGCTGTAGCACCCTTTTGGTGCCTAACTGCCATGCCACCCGAAGGAAGTAGAGGACTGGGATACCAACAGGAAGTCCAAGCCTAGACAGGCCAGAGGTTTGAACCAGGATGAAAAAAATTCGCTCTCCAACCACAGAGGCATATAAAGATGCAGTGAACAGCCACCAGAATGCTTAATGTCTTTGTCGGATCGGAATCCCAAAATATAGAGTGGATATATGGTTTAAAACGTTGATATGTATTCCACCAAACAGTAGATTTTCACTTTAATCTGCATAGCATCGCGTTTCAGGGCAGCACTGCAATTCTGGCGATTAAATACTTTTATTTCCTGGAAGTAGCATGGTAGCGCTGCTTCAAGTTTTGCGGGTTAAGCGTGTTGGCACTTGGCGCTCTCTTATTCTTGTCACCAGTTTTCTGTAGAATCTTGGAACAAAAAGTACGCAGCAAACGTACGTTAAATGTCCGCAAGTTGACATCCCCATCGACTGATAACTATTCAGTTGCTTTCCGCCAGATGAAACCTGTGTGTATCGATTTAGTCGTTAGCCAACTGAAACCTCGCCAGCTTCAGTGGAACAATGAATTCACCTTTGAAGAATTCTGAACGAAGGAAGTGCAAATCTAACTCCACTGGAAGCCACTTGAGGCCACTTGATCCGGCGAAGCATGATAATCACAAGGTTACGGAAAACACTGCTAAGTGCAGGAGGAGTTATTATTTCCTTGATGTAAAAGTACAAGTGTCCAAGGCCAAAATGGTCCAGGATCCACGTATAATATCTACTGAATACCACTCTATTTTAGGCTGATACATTATCCAACAAGAAAGTGTTCTGGTTACGTTAGCTGGCCAGGAGGGAATGGTTGGGCCACCGATATTGCTATACCATTTTCTAATCAGGATCCCCATCGAAGGCAAGTTACTTTTTGGAAAGCCTGTGCTATTTTTTGGAGGCAATTTCTCTTTGGAGGTTCAACCAGGTATTTTTTTCACTATCACCGACATACCTGGTTTGGACGAAACTTAACTTGGGTGACAAATGATCTGTCGAACCGACCGCACTTATACTATGGTTAATGCCCGAACCAACTTTATTCAACTTCTCAACAGAGGAATGTTTGAGGAGGAACGGATAGGCCGTTTATCAAAATAACACATTGATTACATCCGTTAATTTTGTGGTCGCCTTAAAATGAGAGATTTGAATCTTCGTGGCGCCTACGTTGCGCGTTATGTATACTTAGCTCTAAAGGCCATAAATGTCCCTGCACTACCCAGCACAGTAGGGATACTTTTGACTCGTAATCTCCCCGACTTAGCGGTCGCCAATCAGCTAAGTCAAGCTGTTGTGTGTCGGCCGAAGGATTTTTGTGCGTTAGGGTGGGTGAACAAATGTTGGCCGATGGGAAACTTACATGTGTTTGGGTCCAGCCCAGGGTCTATCTAGTTCTTCTGGCTCGGTTCATTTGATGGTTCCTCTTGAACGTCGTTTGAACTTTCTCTCCGTCTGTGTGGATGAGCTAGTGCTAAAATAGTTGTGTAACAGGGATGCTGTGGCCTTTGGTCGGGTTGGGATTTCCACCCCCACCCCCTGTTTTTTTCTAATGATTCTACGTGGATTGACAACCACACCGTCACATGTGAACTCGGCTTATCTAATGGTGCCTTCTATACGCTATCCAGTTCTACACCGTCGATTCTATTCACGCTGTGGTGCTTAGTAATTTCCGCCGTCTCAACTATCAGCCGTGGTGTGGTGTGAATCGCAGTCCCCGTCTCAAAACTTCCACCTTCTCCAAATCTATTCTATGTCCTGCCATCGCTGAGTCTTTGACCAGCGTTTGTTATTCTTCCGTATACCATGGTGGTTTGTTTACCCTTCTTTTATGCTCACCGATTCTGGTGTGCAATTCCCTGGCAGTTTGTCCCAAGTGCAATCATTGCAGTTAATTCTATACACACAATACCTAGTCCTTACAACCGGCTAGAGAGTGTAGCGTTTTTCCCTTCTGCAAAGCTACTCGAATGTGGGCTACGTTCAAGAGTCTTCGAATGACCTCCGATGTTCCTGCTTTATATGGAATGACTGCTGTGCCAATCCACTCCTTACTGGTTCCAGATACTGAAGCCGATAGCTTTCTTAGTTGACGCCTAATCAAACTCACTGATTATCCTATTTCTCAATCGGTTTCAAGTGTTTTTCACCAAAATGCGTTCTAATTTCACTGCTTATCGGCTACTCATGACAGTTCAATTTTACTTTCTATTGCTAGCCGGAAGGTCGAGGGTTCGCCAGGAGATCCATGAAATGCGCACTGTACGGTCTTCCTAGATTCTTAGTTTACTTACTGTACTCGAGTTTTGTGAAAACATCCACAGTTTCTTAGCTGGTGCACACTGAATGCTCATCAGAAGTGCAAACGCTGATGGTCTTGATTTGAGGTGGCACGCTTAAGGTGGTTTCTCAAGCGCGGATTAGTTGGGAAATAGATACTTAAGTTTCGAGCATTATGAGTCATATTCGTTTCCAAACACACCGGTTCCTGGTCCACTGACCAGAAACTGACTGCGAAAAACACACATGACCCCCGAATGTCCGCGCCGGTGTGTGTGTGTGTATGTGTGACACAAAGCACCCTCCGCGCCACCATCACCACTGCCGCCCGCTGAAAACCACTTCGCCTTTGTTGGTCATTTGACCGAAGAAGGGCTGAACCAACTAAAATCACTTGGTATGGTTATTGGCTTAGAGCTCTGCTCATAGCCTGCCTTTGCATGCTAGTCAAAAGGCATTCGTGTACGGTAAGGGTGAGTTTGAATCAGCACGCGTCCTTTAGCGGTGTCAAATTGGTTGTTGGCATCGGCTAAAATTACAGCACTCCTTAAAGTTCGTACCGCACACACTGTCTGTGGTCATTTGTGAGGTCGCCTTTGTGTTCACCCCCCTCTCCTGGTTCGTCCTAACCAACTGCGCACTCACACTGGCGAAATCCGGTGGCGTCGTCTGTCCAAGCCACCGGTGAGCACAGTGGATTGAATTTGTTTTTCTTCAAAAAAATGTAGCCATGGTGGGTTTGCGGCATGTCTGATAGCATCTCAATGAAATGTAGATCACTTCCGTTGCTTCTGAAGCAAGATGAACACTAGTACCAGTTTGGGCCATACACTAAAAGGGCGAGGCCTGCGGGGTGTAGAGATACTTAATTTTTGTTTCTTCAACCGGGCTGTTACAAAACCACAAAACCATCAGTTTTACATCGTTAGTAGGGAAGCGCGGGAAGTGAACACTGCAGTGTAATCAGTTGTATCGTGTACGAATTATTTTCAGATCATAAATCAAAGGCCAACTGATAACCTTTATCAAGGTCATTTGTGCAGGATCAGTATTGATCGATCCACATGACCTGAGTGGAAGCCAAAAAGCTGGAGTTCACATAGCAGAGTAACCACTTCAGAGAAAGACATTATAAGCAAGAAATTCAGCTGCGATTGAGTTGGGTCTCCTGTTAACACCACACTGATGAGCAAATAAATGTAGTTCACGAATTTCATACATTTCTGATCATGTAGAGCACAAGGTTGACTGAAACTCGGGGGTGCACCTATCTGGGGAACCAAAACCGCTCGTGATTTGTTGAAGAGTTTCCACCGACGTTATGAGTAGTGTGTTTCATCCGTGCATTCCATCCCTAGTGGAGTCGACACTGTGACCAGTCGATCGATGAAGCAAGTCTTCAGGCATCAACCGGTCGATATGTCACCTGACTTTAACAGCAAGGCAAGTGTTCTGAGATGCCACAACTCTGTGTGACGTGGTCCACAGTGTGTAAGGCACAGAAATCGGGTATCATATGCGATGAGTGTCGGATAATGAGATCTTTGAGGAGGAAGACAAAGCAGGGAGTCAATCCTATCTTTTTAGTAAAGCTGGCAATGCTCAAGTGGTGCGAATAGTTCTGTCCGCAACCGTAAGTGAAATACGCAGATACACCATAGATCCGTGCATGCTTTTAGGTGACCCCTACTCCTCAGGCATTTTAGGGCAGCAGTCTATGAATGACGCTATTGTCTCCATTTTACAACATTTCAGAAAAACATTTAAAATGAATCACACAAACTCACAGCTTATTGTGAAAGGGTCTGGTTAACCTCCTACCAGTGATTTTGTTGTAGAACGCGAACAACAGCGGCTTCTGTCAGATATTGCTCATTGTGCGAGTCACTTCATCAAGAATCAACACCACAAGCAGAGATTCAAATCCCCGTTGTCTCGTAGTAACGAGTTGAGTGTTGATTGGTTGGATGGATAAAAGTTATGTAGGAGATACCGACTGCCATTCGGAAAAAATATTCCAATTACTTCAGGTTGGGCACTGTTATATCTGCTGTTTCGTCGGCCCGTGGTATCTGCTGCTGACCCGCTCCAGTGCCCAGTGTCGGAGAGAAAAGACTCACAGAAGGGAACACAACAACTATATTCCGAACAAGCGGGTGCAAAAGTTACAACGGCTCCACGCTATTTAAAGGGGACTTTCTAACATTGATCCAGGCTGTCTGATAGGCGTTAGTGATCACCCATCAACATCGATCGTGACTCTGTGAAAAGCCTGAATGCTGATCACATTCGGTCGTGCTTCTGTGGCGTGCAAGAACACTCATCAGGTTTTACTGAATTGATCGAATGATTGACTGGCCTGGATGCTTGCCGGCTTTCCAGTTGAGCTTTTGGTGGAGCAGTAGGTTCCGGGCGTTCAGAAGTTGCTTTCAGGAATCTGACCTTCCTGATAGGCACATTTTAGCAATTAAAATTCACCTCCATTACTGATGGACCTGGCACCGAAGAATACTGTTGTTTTCCTGACTTACGACTATCCTAGCTTATTCGAATGCACCTCTGTAATGTGAAGAGGTGCTGGTGGGAATAATCCTACGCTACTCTTCCACAAACTATCTGGGTGTCTGCGTGTACAACCGTTGGTCAGAGGACACAATGGGAAGTAACAACATAAAGACTGCTGTCCTATTTTGCGGTATTTTTCCCAAGCATTGGAAACGTCGCTTCAGTCCCCTTTTGGAATTTGGACAACAGTGATAACACCTGACTACTCGTTCTCATCTGAAAGGCACCCATTTTTTACAAGTCTAGGCGCTTACTACTCAGTAGACTTTCAGTAGACTATACATCGGCGCGAATGAAAGATGACTGAGTCATCACAGCTTGCAGTTTTAAATGCATTTCATAAGTGAGGCACCTTCTAGAGCAGTCTGCAAGCATTTTGCATTTGTAAAGCGTCTATCAAACAGTGGGGCTGGATTTTAAATTTCACTTAAAATGGATTGTGTCACCAAAGAATGTGAACTACGCGGGGAAGTATCCGTACACTCAGTGTATTTGAGCGGACTTCCGGGGGAAAATCTCAACCTCCAGGGTCTCGGAGGTAGACCCAGACGTTTTCCAGCAACGCGTCAGCAACATTTGAAGGAGAGAGCAGTCACAACGTGGTGGACGTGGTTGGTGATAGCTTGATTTACACCCTATTTGCATAGACTTTGACATGAAATGACCGGCCAAAGGAAATCTATTCGTAATAACAGTAATTTCTTGATTTAAAGTAAATTTGGCGCAGTCATCGTGGGAGCATTTAGCTTCTGTTTGAAAATTTAGGAATGGATAGCGTTCAAATTTGTGGCGCCATACTGGCAGCGGTCTATTGCCCTAGGTCTCCTTAAAGCCTTGTTGCTGAAAAATCATTCCAGAAGCCTCAGATTACAAAATTAACTTTTGTTGACGCTTCTAAGTAGTGTATAGAGATGCAGGAATGGTTAGCTCAGCATAACTGGAAGTTATCGTGCTTCACACTCCGCGCCTTATGAACTGTGCTGACCAGCAACGCATTTTGGGTAACTGTCGGAGAATAGGAACCGCAAAGTTGTCTACTTTCTTTACACACAACTACCTTTGCGTGGAATGTTGTTCTAGTGTTTCCCATTTCACCATGTAGGTCATCGATATTCTAGACTCGGCGAATGCCAACAAGGTCAACTATCGCCGCATTATGGATGCAACACTGTCCACCATGTATCACTTGCACGCACCAGCTCAAGTGACTGAGAAAGTTCGAACATGGTTCATGTACAATTGGGACCAACAAAAAACGTTCGGTAAGTCAGCTAGGCAGGATGAGCTGCTGTGTGGTGTTAAAATAGACGCATTTATACACAAAATACAGAGGTCGAAGTCTGGTCAACCTTGCAGCTACCATCTCTAAATTTCGGTTGAAATTTAGTAGCCTAGAAATAGCGCTCGTCTGATCAAGCCATGAGCCAGAATTTGGAGCGAATTCTGTTGAAAACTTCTACCCGAAATTCATCAGTATTCACCGACTGCTGACAGACACCAGGGCATTTAGCACTTTCTAGCTAACCAGACTAGCTTCTTCACTTTTCTTCACTTATCTTGCTTCAAATGTCGTTGTTTGCTTTAAATGTTGTCCACATTTCCATCATGATGTCTGCTCTCATCAGTGACAATGATGTTGTGTATTAAACTGCGGCAAACAAATTAACCTATCCGTCGGTGCCTTCCTGTTAGAATGGCGTTTTGTATGTACCTGTCCACCGATTCCGACTCTGCTGATGAAAGACCATTCCGCCGGCGTACTCACCGTATAAAACTGCAGGAAAAAACAGGCGAAGTTTAATAAAAGGATTTTGTCATGTTAGAGGTGTTATATCTTCTTGATTGGAACTGTAGCCCAATATATCTTCATGTTCAACCATCCTACTTTCATCCGCTAAGTAGTCAGGTAGGTGGAAATGAAAAGATGTCCGATTTGGTATGTACCCGAGGCTAATTTTAGTCTACCAGACTGGAGTGAATTTTGAAAAGCTTTCACTTGATACATCAGCTGAGGAAGATATTCTTAAGTATGGCCGCATGCGTAAATCGGGATGGACCCAATTAAAGAGAACACTCATCAGGTTTTACTGAATTGATCGAATGATTGACTGGCCTGGATGCTTGCCGGCTTTCCAGTTGAGCTTTTGGTGGAGCAGTAGGTTCCGGGCGTTCAGAAGTTGCTTTCAGGAATCTGACCTTCCTGATAGGCACATTTTAGCAATTAGAATTCACCTCCATTACTGATGGACCTGGCACCGAAGAATACTGTTGTTTTCCTGACTTACGACTATCCTAGCTTATTCGAATGCACCTCCATAATGTGAAGAGGTGCTGGTGGGAATAATCCTACGCTACTCTTCCACAAACTATCTGGGTGTCTGCGTGTACAACCGTTGGTCAGAGGACACAATGGGAAGTAACAACATAAAGACTGCTGTCCTATTTTGCGGTATTTTTCCCAAGCATTGGAAACGTCGCTTCAGTCCCCTTTTGGAATTTGGACAACAGTGATAACACCTGACTACTCGTTCTCATCTGAAAGGCACCCATTTTTTACAAGTCTAGGCGCTTACTACTCAGTAGACTTTCAGTAGACTATACATCGGCGCGAATGAAAGATGACTGAGTCATCACAGCTTGCAGTTTTAAATGCATTTCATAAGTGAGGCACCTTCTAGAGCAGTCTGCAAGCATTTTGCATTTGTAAAGCGTCTATCAAACAGTGGGGCTGGATTTTAAATTTCACTTAAAATGGATTGTGTCACCAAAGAATGTGAACTACGCGGGGAAGTATCCGTACACTCAGTGTATTTGAGCGGACTTCCGGGGGAAAATCTCAACCTCCAGGGTCTCGGAGGTAGACCCAGACGTTTTCCAGCAACGCGTCAGCAACATTTGAAGGAGAGAGCAGTCACAACGTGGTGGACGTGGTTGGTGATAGCTTGATTTACACCCTATTTGCATAGACTTTGACATGAAATGACCGGCCAAAGGAAATCTATTCGTAATAACAGTAACTTCTTGATTTAAAGTAAATTTGGCGCAGTCATCGTGGGAGCATTTAGCTTCTGTTTGAAAATTTAGGAATGGATAGCGTTCAAATTTGTGGCGCCATACTGGCAGCGGTCTATTGCCCTAGGTCTCCTTAAAGCCTTGTTGCTGAAAAATCATTCCAGAAGCCTCAGATTACAAAATTAACTTTTGTTGACGCTTCTAAGTAGTGTATAGAGATGCAGGAATGGTTAGCTCAGCATAACTGGAAGTTATCGTGCTTCACACTCCGCGCCTTATGAACTGTGCTGACCAGCAACGCATTTTGGGTAACTGTCGGAGAATAGGAACCGCAAAGTTGTCTACTTTCTTTACACACAACTACCTTTGCGTGGAATGTTGTTCTAGTGTTTCCCATTTCACCATGTAGGTCATCGATATTCTAGACTCGGCGAATGCCAACAAGGTCAACTATCGCCGCATTATGGATGCAACACTGTCCACCATGTATCACTTGCACGCACCAGCTCAAGTGACTGAGAAAGTTCGAACATGGTTCATGTACAATTGGGACCAACAAAAAACGTTCGGTAAGTCAGCTAGGCAGGATAAGCTGCTGTGTGGTGTTAAAATAGACGCATTTATACACAAAATACAGAGGTCGAAGTCTGGTCAACCTTGCAGCTACCATCTCTAAATTTCGGTTGAAATTTAGTAGCCTAGAAATAGCGCTCGTCTGATCAAGCCATGAGCCAGAATTTGGAGCGAATTCTGTTGAAAACTTCTACCCGAAATTCATCAGTATTCACCGACTGCTGACAGACACCAGGGCATTTAGCACTTTCTAACTAACCAGACTAGCTTCTTCACTTTTCTTCACTTATCTTGCTTCAAATGTCGTTGTTTGCTTTAAATGTTGTCCACATTTCCATCATGATGTCTGCTCTCATCAGTGACAATGATGTTGTGTATTAAACTGCGGCAAACAAATTAACCTATCCGTCGGTGCCTTCCTGTTAGAATGGCGTTTTGTATGTACCTGTCCACCGATTCCGACCCTGCTGATGAAAGACCATTCCGCCGGCGTACTCACCGTATAAAACTGCAGGAAAAAACAGGCGAAGTTTAATAAAAGGATTTTGTCATGTTAGAGGTGTTATATCTTCTTGATTGGAACTGTAGCCCAATATATCTTCATGTTCAACCATCCTACTTTCATCCGCTAAGTAGTCAGGTAGGTGGAAATGAAAAGATGTCCGATTTGGTATGTACCCGAGGCTAATTTTAGTCTACCAGACTGGAGTGAATTTTGAAAAGCTTTCACTTGATACATCAGCTGAGGAAGATATTCTTAAGTGGGGCCGCATGCGTAAATCAGGATGGACCCAATTAAGGTACAGCATGTCAATTGGATTGTGTACCGTGGTGTATATATATATATATAATGTACAAGCGTACGGAACAACTAGAGCACACATAAGAATATTATCTTACACGTTTTAGTCAACTTTTGGGAGCCATCACGCTTTGAAATAGTTGAAGAAAGTGTTCCTTGCATTCTTATATGACACGAAACCAGTTGTACGTGTACATCATGACTGCGGCACATCGTGGAATCAGTGGAAGTTAGTCCCGAAAAACCAGTTGATCTCATGCTTTCTCTCCGCAACTCTAACCTGCACGTTTAAAGGGTTAGTACAATACAGCACAGTACAGTATAGTATATTAAATCATGTTATATCGTATCATATTATGTCATATATAATAGTATGTCGTATTATATTAATTATATTACGTATGTATATATGTAGGCATGTATGTATTATAGTATGGTTGTTTAGGTTTCCGATATGGAACTTTGAGTGACGCTTGAACTCAACAATCCCAAATATCAAAAGGGAGAATTGGGTTCGTCATTCTACGTTACTATTTACACAAGAGATGTGTAGAACAAAACTCAATTGTTCACGTTCGTAGCGTCAACAGGTTCACAGGTCTGCCACTGACCGGTACAGTGCAGTGTCAACGCCCGCACACCAAACAAACTACTGATAACTCAGTAGTGTGGGTTGCGGTTGTCCATTCCGACGACAGTCTAGGGATTCTCGTTTGCCGTACGATCACACGGAACTCACTAGAGGACATGTAAAGGTTCATGGGTAAGTAGGTCAGCCGCGCAGATTCACACACAGACACACATGCCAATAAACAAGTGTCGGACGGGCTGGGATCTCTGGCACCGTGAGTAGCGGGCACGGATAAGCAAAACAACTGCAGACCTAATGTACCTCCGCGGACTAAGCAACTGAATGGGAGAATTAGCATGATGTCAAGTTACATTCAACGACAGTATAGCATAGTATAGTATAGTATAGTATAGTATAGTATAGTATAGTATAGTATAGTATAGTATAGTATAGTATAGTATAGTATAGTATAGTATAGTATAGTATAGTATAGTATAGTATAGTGTAGTATAGTAAGATAATTGTGTTGATGTGCCAATCATATGCCACAGTACGAGCGCGAGGTAGCTCAGCGGTTGAGGTACGAAGCCAGTGGATGGGAGGTCCGTGAGTCGAACCCAGACATAGTTTTATGATTACCTCTGAATTGGGCAATTCGGCAGCCTCAGAATTGCGTGCTGTACACCAAGCTGTACACACCGTGGATAAAGTATTTGTTATATTTCTTTGGTACCATAAAATATTAATGAAAATAAGTAATGATAGTGAAACGCTGTCTGTCGTCAATGACGACTAAGATACTTCCAAGTCTACTCCAGGTAGACGCAAAAAAGAAGGAGAATATCTGTGCTCTTGACAGCGTTCTTACAAGACTGTTGAAGTCATTAGCACAAAAAGAATGTACGGTGATTGATCGCAGTTGTTCTCTAGCTGTTCAGTGGAATAAAATTGTTCCTATGTAGTCCCATGGTTTTTAAGTAGTGTACTTAATGCTGAACCTCTAAAATGTGTTTTGTGATGAGTGTAATAAGTAACATATTTTGTATAGACGTAATACAACACTAATAAGTTTGCTGAAAAATCTCTGACAGAAACCATATGAGTAGTGCATTACGTCTATACAATGAATCGCGATATCTCGAATATCATTTCAAACGAAACGGGAAGTGGTCTGGTGCAGCAAATTCGGTTGATTCAAAAACTCATCAGCGAGAGATTCAACTGGGTTCCAGGTGAGTTTCACGTTGTAAACCAAATTGGTATGCAAATGAGTGTAGTTCGCTAAGTAATGCATCTGTTTCGGCTCTGTATCTACTTGAACTTGACGGTAGTTGAGTTCACTTACTAGCGCACCATAGTGAACAGACGACTTTCGAATGATTTACCGTTTTGGGGCAACGAAGAATTTCGACGCCCACGATAGTCATTGAAATCTAAGTTTTAAGTGCCTCGCTGCTTCCCCTTCTAGTAGTTATCGATTGGTTTAGCTAGGAAAATTCTGGCAGAAAATTCACGCATAAGGTCACTCTGGATGAGTTCAGACGTTTTCTACGCCTCATCGTCATCTCATCCGGAGTTCACGGGTTTAAACCGCACCCAAGGTTATTACAAGGTTAGCCAACGCCCGATGTTTAACATGTCGCAAGCGTTTTCGCTATGCAAAGGGATTCGGAGGTGAAACCTTGATTAAGCTCACTTTCAAACTAACGTAATCAAAACAAAAAAACAGATTCACATAGCGATCTGTACTTCCGTCCTTGGAAGACAGCCACGTCAACAGATGTGGATTCTTTTGTAGGAAACAGTCAACACGAGTCCATGATTGCCCTTTACTTGCCGAAATCTTTACAACTGTTCACAAATAACCTTTTAAAACATCTTCGCATTAGTTGAAAATCCTTTAAACTGCCTTTTAAATTTACAGCTTTGAGTGCATGCACTGAAGCAGCTCGCTCATTGATTATGGCCGACAGTAGGCCGCCGTTTGTTTGAAAGGGTGGGAAAACAGATTTCCAGCGGACTTTCGTAATGTGAACGTTAAGAAAGCCCAGTGAATTAAAATCACCTTAGTAGGAGAATTGATACTGCAGATGGAACACAAGATAAACAAGAATATCCAGCACGCGTGCACACCTTTTGCTGCTATCATGCTCGGCAGATCAAAGCATTACTTTCAAGTTTTTTGTTGTGCTGTAATGACTGATGTTAGGTCACCGCCTTCGGAGAAACCTGATGCCAGGGACTGCAACATTAATTTGTTTGTCCGGTACACTGGGGAGGAAATTCAGTTTGGTTTTTCCATTTTCCTGTAAACTCATTCAGATGGGATGCGTTTTGTCTTTCCAACCTAATGGCCACAACTGAAAATGCACCTCGACTTACTCTGTGGTCCTTCACCAGCAGTTCGCAGAAAGTCGTCGGTAGACATAGTCGGCATTTCAGCCTTCTGTGCCGCAGGATATGAAAGAGAAAAGTGAAATGGGCGCATATTCAGTCCTATTCATTTCCGCCAGAACTAGTAAAACGGGAGATTTAGAACAGGTCTGTGCGATCCTGTGCTAAGGCCGTGATCTCAAAGCAAGGAATAGGTTGCTTACCCTAAACGCACGATCTAGGTGCCCTGTCTGACAGGCAACGTGTAGTCTAATTCACCAACGGACGGTCAGTGATAATTGCGGCGAAACCGAATTCTACGAACTTCACCTGCGTTTGTTCAGTAGTCGCAATTGGGCAGTGAACAATATATTGAATTGGACTTGGGCAGACAGTATATATAGGTAGACCGTGGTTCTATAGGAAATTAACAGTAACTCATGAGGAGAATTAAAGAAAGGCTTACGGCTAGATTGAACCTTGGGCAGTTAGC